ATCTTTTGGAAGGTTGCCAGCTTTTTCGACAGGAGTGCGCAGAGGGGAAACAGTAAAGTGGTTTGAGAACTCATTAAAAAATTGTTTTAAGAAATCGATTTCTATTTTCAAAATCTCAATAACATTGATTCAAATCTTGTAAATTAATTAATGCAGGTTAAACAATTGCCTTTTTTTATAACTCAGTACGTAATATTTTCCTAGCTACATAAAAATTTCTCATGAAGTCAAAAAGCTACCAAGTTAGAAAGAATGGTCAAGAAAAATATTATAAAAGGAACTAACAGGAAACTTGTTTCCATATATTTAAATAAGCATTCTCTTTTAAACATTCACGTATTTACATCAATTATGTGGTTCCTTTGCATAACGTTTAAAATATTTACAAATTTTTCACTATTTTTTAATTATTATAATTACTTTGAAATTTTGAATTAATTGTTTAAATGAACACACATAATAATTAAAATAGAATCTTAGAATTTGACTTCTGCACATACAACACGTTTTTGCGAAACACTCCCTTGTTGCACTTTCTGATCGATTCCTGTGGTCAGGGATAATCTTTGCCCTAAGAATGTTTACATTTGATTGAATGCCAATTTATTATTGAATCTAGCGCTTCCGTCCGTTGGTTTGGCGAAGACTTGGTCGTGACAAAACTCTGGTGCCTATGCTGTTTGTCTCCTCACGTCCCTCCTGCTGTGACAGTTCCTTGGAGCGGAGCAGTGTAGGGCGGGGGGGGGGGGCGCAGAGGAGGCCGCGCCCAATTAGGCTCAATTACACCCACGGCGGGAAGAAGAATATCGACTTGGTTGGGAGATTTCTCTTTCTTCGAAATGCCAAACGTCTTGAATTCAAGGTGCAACAGGTGCACCGAGGTCCCTAGGTTAGGGGCTCCGAAAAAGGATCCCCGCCAGCTCGTAATTAAGGCGCGGTTCAACAACTTATTGAAGGGATTTCGTGGGGGAAAAGTTGTGTAACAAATTACGCGCTACCATAATATTTAATTAAGGTTATTCCTTATAAATAATATTGTACTATTTCTGCAAGTGAATGCGGGAAAATTATTTCAAGAAATAGCAACAACAACGTGAACGAAGAATACACTGGAGGTCAAGTGGTTGAGCAAAGGTGTTATTGACAACGTGCCGACTCTTCGCCTGTGAATTTACCCACATCGCAATCAGCTGTGCTACTCGTCCGACACGTGCCGCAGGACCAGGGATAATATTCAAACAATGTATTCTTACAATTTCCGTTTGTAAATAGACCATACTAGCATAAGAATGCATGAGCAACTGATTAATTTTTGTGCTTCATGAGATGTATTTGATTTGCGTTGTTGCCTGTTCGTTTTTGTGTAGTTTACAAATGAAATCATTTTCAGAATAGAACTCTTTTGTAGTGTGACTTTCAATCCTTGCCTTTGTTAACCAACTCTTCCCCCCGTAAATTATTTACCTCTTAATTCGGAATAATTGAAATATCATCTATTACAAATGTACTTGTAAAAATAACTGGCAACAATAGAATCTAAATGTAATTCTACATTGACAATTATTTGCCAGAAATGAAATCACAATGAAATTTGCCGTTGTAAATAGGTTGATACCCCATGACAAATGCGAATGGATTAACTCAGTATTAGTTGTCCAAAGGTGAATATATAGGCCTACAGAAAGTGAACTGGCACAAAATGCTTTAAAGAGTCTCCTCTGAAAATGCCCTCTCCTTCACATCTCCACTGAATACGTTCATCAGAAAAATACTGTTTCACTTTAAGAAGCTAATAACGTAAATTGTCATTAAGTGCAGTCGTCAACTGCATCCATTAGCAGTTCAGGGAAGGAAAATAGTCAAACAATAATAAACAGTTCGTGAAAGATAAATCGCATTCCCCATTAAACTTGATTCGAGAAGCGTTGCAAACTATTTTATACTTATTGGGTCACTTCATTTAATATATATTTGAGAAATATTTCTACAAATGGCATTTCATAATAAAAAGTGATGGATGTAAATAGAAACTCAACAACACAGGAAATATATTTTTCTTTCATTTGCATTTATATTGATTGATTGTTAGTTATACCGGGCGCATCAACTGCTATGGTCATTAATCCTGTAAGTGAAGTGCATATTTTTCTCCTCGGAGGCGGCGGTGATATTCCTCCGCTAGATGGGGAAATCTGGCGCCGACCTACCGTCGGCTGACGGGTTTTCCAAAACCAGATATCGCCCACCAGCGGGTCACCGCCCCACGCGGAACAAGCTCGAAACTCCCTACCGGTCCCTCGCCATGTGTGGCGGTGATGCGCATGTACGTGCCTGTGTGTGTAAGAGATGTGTGAGGATAATACAAGGAAGGGGGAGGGGAAGATCGTGTGGCCCGTTTGTTAGAGTACATCTCGGACATTCGCCTGGTGTTGATCGGATAATTCACGAAAAAATACCGATCAGAGCAGTCGGCCGCAAGAATTCTCCACAAGACAATGGCTAAATTCAATCTTGCTGACAAGTCCGTGTTGAAAATCCTGCCACCGTCGGAACTGGAACACTAGGATCTCCCAGTCAGGGCACTGCAGTGACATCAGTTGATGCCCTGAGCCACCTCTCCCGGTCATTTGCTTTTATACCTTTCATTAATTTCCAGTATGCCTTCCGGTTGAAATGATGCCTCTGTAATCAGAGAATGTATGTTGTGTCCATAATGTAGCGCCGATTCGTCCCACTGTCCGGCGCTCGACAGCTCGGGCGAAGACGTAGGTGGGGATGACTCCATAGCAATCTGCGCCTCCCGATGTCGACGACGGTTGTAGTCCGCGGCGACCTACTGCAATGGAGTAAAATCAACATGAAAACGCAATTGAATTTAATCGTTGTTTCTAAAAATTGAGAAATTAGTGAATTCATACCTATCGACCACAAGTGAACCCACCTCCGTACAGCTTAGAAAATTTCCTTACCGGCCTGGCGCACCCGAACGAGTATATGAATCTGCAGATAGTTCAACTATCACCTTCAAATGTTGCAGTAATGCAATTTGAACTTCATGTTATTTTCCATAACATCATAAAAGGTGTCACCATGTGCATTTCAAAATTTCGAGGGAATTTTTTTTTAATTATACAATGTAATGCTTTTTTTAAAAATCAGGCACGTAATGCGTACAATGACTTTTAGAGAGTGATAGGGGGGTAAGAGTGACAGGGAGAGAGATCGAGAGGTTGTGAGGATAAATGAAGTAAAGCCACTTCAAGTCATGCTGTTTTCGAAGGCTTGAAAGTTTCCACAGTCCAAGGATCTACATTGGTTTAAAATTGCCTACCAATATCACTCTGGATCACGTATATCACCAATGAAGGTGGTCGGCGCTGGATTCAAGAATAAAATGCAATGTAATTGAAGCGAAAATCCGTGAATATCTGTGAAAACTGCATTGCAATAAATTCAATCGTTCAAAAATTACAGGAGATGCTAAAATTACGTGACTCACTCTGTACTAACATTTTCATTTGTATTAGGTAATTAATCAAAAGACTACTAGGTCTCAATATATTGTTATTAATTAATAATTGTCTACGAATGAGTACTAAAATATTTCAATTCCAGAGGTATGGCAAGGGCATACATAGGAGTATTTTGAAACGTTTCTGTCCATGCAGTCCTACCAACGAGGGCACAGATGGACACATCCTTCTTTTAAGAACTAGCTCAACACTCACTATGTTGCTCCAAATGCACAACTGCTCTCTGCACCAGAGAAATTACAATACGTTTTTAAGTGTTGATGGGCAGTGGCTATAAGAGAACACCGGAGATTCCATGAAGCGATTGCGCATGGCGACGGTTTCAATTTGCTTTTTAAACATCCGATAAGCGTTGAAAGACGAAACTATCGTTAACTAGTGGTGCTAAAAAAAGCATGTACTTTCGCGCCCATATTTTCAAGCAAAATTACACGAAAAGTACTCAAATTTTCCAGAAAGTATGCATGACCTTATTTCAAAATATATCTTCAAGGAACGGATTTCATTAACGGAAAAGATATTTATCCTTAATATTTTAGTTGTAGGAAGATGCCCAAAAATTTTGAACTTTTACAATTTTCGAAAAATTACGGTTTTCAATGAACATGAAACTTTTAGTATTCTATTAAACGTCCTTCACACTATTCAATAAAAAATAATTAAAAACTATGGAGCCATTTTTTTTGAAAATTTGGATAATGTTCCAGGAATTTCATGTAAAGTACCCCCAAAATTAAAATATCAGTTTCAAATTCAAGGGTTGAACGGTTTAACCGCTAGCATTGTTCAAAGGCGGACGGACAGACATTTTCCCATTCTTCGATATCAAGAACCCACAGAACATGTATTCTGGCTACACCATGTGTTAGAATATTTTTCCTACATATAGCAACTGGATTTATCCACGATGTTGTTACCATGGTGAGATGGGTACCAATGAGAGAGTTCTTCCAAAAATTCCCCGGATTTTCCCGCAGCATTACATAACTTTTCCTCTACTCCATAGCGAGAAAGAAAAGTAAAAGTCCCAAAAGGTGAAAAGTAACTTCTTACGTGAACAAAAATAGAACAGGCAAACTACACTGAGGTCCATCGTTAATCCCCCAATGGTATGCGAATGTTAATCAGATTTATGGGGAAATATCTTAAATATAGAGCATCATGTTGTATCACATGGCGTGAAAGACATATTGCATTCTTGTCTATCCGGGATGAGCCGCGTCTCGGTCAATTGTACTGTTTCGGCCATCTTGTTGTGGCCTTCTTCAGAGCAATACTGCTACTGCTTCAGAACAGTATAGCTCTGACTCCGGCCGCGGAAGCCTTCGAACCCTGAAACACATATTTTCAACAACAGTCTTGTATTGTGATTTGTATTCTTCTTCATACAGAATAAATTTGTAAAATTACATTAAATTGTATTAAGCTTGAATGATCGCTAAAGAGAGAAAAAACATGTGTCTGCAGGCACCATGACGCTGATGTGCCTGCCGTTCAAGACGAAGGGCAACTACACGTTGCCCGCGGCGGAGTCGAAGCGCAAGTCAGAGGCCAACAGCGAGACCTTCCACCACACGCCGCCAGGCTCCAGCACCAGCCGCACCCCCAGGCCCACGGTGAGTGAACGCCCCGCTGCAATGCCTTTGGCGAAGGGCGCGAGAGAGCGGATCTTGATTTCGGGCGCGGCAACCACTATGCGCATTAGGCCCTTGAATATACTGCACACTCCAGCCGAGACTTGAACCGGGAGAGGTGGCTCAGAGTATCAACTGATGTCATTGCTGTGCCTCTGACCGACAGGTTCAAGGTTCGAGTCCCGACGGTGGCAGGATTTTCGACACTGGCTAAATAGCTAGGTCGAATTCTGTCGCTGTCTGGAAGAGAATTCTAGGGGCCGGCTGCTCTGATCGGTAGTTTCCCGTGGTTTCTCCGATCAATACCAGGCGAATGTCGGGGCAGTACCCTACCAATCGGACCGCGCACCATCTTTCCTTTACGATTCCTTGTACTATTCTACCCCTCACTTAGACACTTATATGCTCTACACTACCTCACATGCCAGGGGCCGGCCAGGGGCGGTGCCCCGCTGATGAGAGATACCTAGTTGGGGGAAAACCCGCTAGCCAACGGTGGGTCGGTGTCGGATCTAACCATTCAGCGGGAGAAGAGAATCGCCACCTTCCGATCAAAAACATGCACAACACTTACGGGAATACTGACCTTAGCAGTTGACGCGCCCGGAATCACTAATCAATCAATCAAAAACCGAGAGACGGTGGAACTGCAGCCTCGGTGGAACGCGTGATCTGGAGGCGACGCACACGTCGGTTTCCAGGATTTTACTCCTCCAGGAATCTCTTCCAGCGGGCCACCCGCTGAGAACGGCCTTGATTGCAACCGCCGTGGCGTGCGTAGAGGAGCGGCGAGGTGCCAGCGATGCCGGTCGCAACGACAGCGCCCGCAGCCCGGCGGCTTCTCCAACGCGCCGCGCGGCGGCTGTTGCAGGCGCAGAGGGAGAAGGAGGCGGAGATCGGACGGCGCCAGGCGCAGTGGGGAGGCCCCGCGCCGGCGCCCGGCCGCCCCGAGGACCTGCAGGCGCCGCGCCACAGCAAGGACGAGCAGTGAGTGCCGCTCCGCCTCCCACCCCGTCCTCTCTGGTCTACCCCCCGTTCTCCTGGCGCAGAATGCCGTCTGGTCTTTCCCCTGGTCTAGCTCTCTTCGCATTGATCTTCCCCTCTTTCCCCCTTTCCACTGATGGACCTCCTTCCCGTTGATATATATCTCTTTCTCCTGATCTACCTTCCTTTGCATCATCTGCCCATTCTCCTCCTGATCTACCCCTTTCTATTGATTTACGTCCCTTCCCACTGATGTACATTTTTTTCACTATTCTGCCTCCCTTTTCATTGATCTACTCCTTTCGGCTCATCTTAGCCCCTTTTATGTATCCACCACCTTTCCACTGATCCATCCCCTTTTCAATGATTTACCCCCTTTTTCACTAATCTACCCGCTTTCCAATCTGATCCCCTTTTCCAATAATCTACTCTCATTTTGTACATCCTTCTCCCTACCTAGGCGAATGCATAGGCATTACACACATGCATACGCGTATAAGTTACAGCTTGATTCCGAAATATAGCTAATAGTGGGAGTCGCCAGTTAATTAGACTGACGGTTTGGATAAATCCATATTAATGAAAATACATTTATCATTTTGTATTTCTTCCGGCTTATATTGGCATTTCCCACAGAGCTCTGACTAAAGTATGGTCATTGTCTCAGTGTGAGGCATCCTGTGTGTTCGCGAGAAGTATTTTAGCATAAACATTTATTATAAATAATGCGTTGCGCAGACTCAAGATTGTTTTATGTAAAATGCAAAAGGCGATGGCCGGAGCTTCGTCACTAATTAGGAAATACGTAGAGAAATGTCAACTGAGATATATAGTGAGGTTTGTTTAGGTGGTATCGCCAAAATCGAAATTCTGGACTGTCACAGTAGAACTCGTCACTATAGATTTTGTCTCTCACTAGCCTTAGAAACTTTCCACCAGAAATCTGATCCGTTTATCAACACTATCTGCTATTCTTCGTCGCCTTATTACCTCACTTGCCCTAGACACCTCGTGTTCGCTAATATCAGACGTCTCTGAATAAATGTTACAAAAGTGACAAGTAGGAGGGTGGAATATCACTTTTTGACAATGAACATGAGTCGGAAGTTTCGTTCAACGAAATATACAAATACGTATAATCACATGAGATGTCCCATTTAGGTGCGACAGTTGAAATTCGGCTACTTTCCCCTACGTATTAGTGTCAATTCCGGTTTTTACATTAGGTCGCGTCGATGTTAGGAAGCATTCCCGCTTTCATTTATACAATTTCTTTTGACCTATGACCCTAATATTTTTGCAGGGCAAGGGATGCTGGTTTCAAGATTGCATCGGTGAGAATTGCTCTTGCTTCGCCAGTCCCATTTTATGATACTCCCTTACCAGACCCTCGCGCTTCACGACGCCATTTGTTGTGACTCCCAGCCACACCCGACACGCCCCGGTCCATGAATACCTTTCATTCCGCACGCCGTGAACCAGTGCCTTCCTGCCAGAGTAATTCACCTGTTCTAGACAACTATCAAACAAAAGAGCTTATTTCCTAGCCAACGTCAAGTGGACTCCCATATTTAAGATAATTTGTAGAAGCAAAAAATACATATGCTTTCTGAGACTCAAAACCTGAAGTTAAAATCCTTCCGCACAACCCTTTGGTATTTCCCACCTTGTTCTACAATATCCCAGAAATAAATGACAGAGGCCATACTTTTTTCTATTCCTGAACTATTTTAACATTTTATTGGAACATGTGAATTTCATATGAACTTTGTATTTTATATTATCATTTCTAAATTTGTCTAATTTAAACATAATAGTGAGAACCCAAAATGACATTTCGTTCATTAATTTCATCTGCTAAATTGAAGTTACGTTACTTGCTTATTAATGACATCTGTGGATCAATCAAATTTCATAATCATTTATTTGTTACTGCCTTTTCCTATCTGTCTGACCTTATGCCCCCAAAGTAATGATTCACTATTTAACAGGTTAAAAATGATTGTGTCAAAACTTACGCAAGCCCACTCCAGCCTATATATTTTCTCTCACATTATTTTTTTTATTCTCATATGCCAGAGACTTTTGCTAATTAAACAGGTTTTTTATATTTATTTGGGGGTTCTTGAATACACTAAGAAAATTTTATTTGCTAGATCTCGACGCCTTATTGAAGATGGACTCAAGAAAAATGACTTTCTAAAGAACTTAGACCCACCACAGATAAATGCTGTTGTTGATTCTATGTACCTGAAACATGTCAAAAGCAACACTCTTATCATTCAAGAAGGAGATGAAGGTGAGCTATTTTGATAATATGATATATTCATTTATTGGTGAAATTCTAACAAGTGTTCTTCTTCACTGTTAAAACATTCTAGGTTCACACATGTACATCGCCGCTGAAGGCAGATTTGAAGTAATCAAAGGTGGGAAAGTCCTGAGAGAAATTTCAAATGGTGAAGTATTTGGAGAACTTGCTCTTCTCTACAATGCGAAGAGACAGGCCTCCATCAGAGGTTAGCAACTTATTTCCAAAGCGGAGTTGTATTGTACTTAGCTCTTCAGTCTTCTCTTTTGCTGTTGCTTCGGCGAATTTATAAAAAAAAATCTTGCATTGTACCTCTGTTGTTGCTGCTGCTGCCATTGCCACTGCTGCTCCTGCGTTCTATGATTTCATGCTGGGGTGGTTTTCGAAAACATTTAACACTTTTAGCTCATATTTTGCGTTCCTTTGCAATTCATGCTTAACTTCCTTCCTTGTTTGTGGTACTTCACTTTCTTCTTCTTGCTGGGCTCAACCTTCTGCTACAGAATGCGCTGCAGTCATTTATAAACGGTGATGGATTACAGCTTGAAGGAACTAACAGCTTCATTGAAACCATTCAAAGGTATGTTGACTAAAGGAGAGTGTGCTGTTTTTACAGTTTTGACAGACTCAAAAGTATGGGCATTGGACAGGAAGGTTTTCCAGCAGATAATGGTGCGCACTGGAGTGAAACAGAGGGAAGACTACATACGTTTCCTCCAAAGTGTACCAACATTTAAAGGGATTCATATCTCAGTGCTTGCCAAAATCTGTGATCTAATTCGTGTGGTAAGATACTTGTTACAGCATTCTTTACATCTATAAAATTCAGAGTAAAATTTACATAAAAATCTTCACCATGCTCACTTACATTTTGATCTAAATACATAATAACACGCATAATGAATGAAATGAATGAATTGAAATGAAAAATAATAAGCAAAAACTAAATATTTTTGAGATCTTAAGGTATTTTTGTCGCTTTTAAACACCTTTAAAGTACTCCATGGTTATAGTGTCTGTGAAATTCATTGAAGACAAAGGAAAGTCCAAATGATTTACAACGAGGAGTCATTTTTTCATCCTATTTTGCTATTAACAATTATAATACAAATATAAGTTAAAATAATTATATTACTTTTAAAGCAATTTATTTGAAAAAATGTGTTGACATAATGTCAAATTATTTACACCAAACAAGAAGAAATTATTTGTTGACATTGTTTTATTAATTCCTATTGTATAATTATAAAATTATCAAAATAGAACCGAAAAATAGACTAACAACTAAGGGCCCGGATTTTCACACAAATGCGTATTTTCCACCTAGAGTCAGAAAGTACACTAACTTGGTTTGTGCAAGAAACATATTTTTCAATTATTTAAAAATGATTTTATGATAAATATTTTCCATATTTAGTCGATACTCAAATGAGCATATTTTTTTCAAATTGATAATTGTGTATTTTAACATAAAATACGTTACTCATATGTATTGTAATAAATATGATTTTTGATTTTGCAAATGTGTTTTTGCATAACTGATTTATTATAGTTAATATCATTTTTTTTGTATGTGAAAATACATTACTTTAATAGGAAAATCACGATCGTTTCGAGTTTTACGTGCCTTAGAAACCATTTTGAAAGTTCGGTAACGCTGATTAACTAACCCACGTAACGAGAACTCTCACTTGACACTGAGGGGGCTTACTGTACAAGTGTAAGTGAAACTGATCGAATAAAAGAAATGATTTCCCTTTTCATTGTATGATGGTGTGTGATAAGGTGTTCTCATAATTGTGTTCAAACGTGCTTCTTATTCAAGTTGTTAAATTAATTTGCGGCAGACATACCAACAAGATTGCGTATATGGATACATATTTCATAGAATTTTAGTACATATAAATCCGGTCTCTACTTATTAACTATGCTTCGCAATCACATGTGTTATTGTTTCTCCTCATTTCCAGAGGTTTGACCGAAAGAAAGTGCATTGAAAAATATAATTCTCTGTTAATGTTCTGTTTTTGAAAACAATGTGTAAGACTTTATTGTATTCAAATAAACATTCAAGCGGCTTAGAATATATAAACAAATTTATTCTTAATTGCTCTTTTCATTAACAAAAAGTATTTATAAATATTAAAATGAATAATCACTGATCTCGATCAGTTTTTCGTCCAATTTCCCTGATCTTCGAGCAGATGCTGAAATGGTCCCTGATTTTGCTTCTGGACATAAATGTAACTTCAAATTAACTTCTCCCCATAGCACGTCACACACAGTTTTAATTGATTTTGACATAAATAAATTTTAAAAAATTACGCACTTATATCGTATTAATTGTTTAAAAAATATTTTGTATCATGACTCTTTCTACGAGTTTCCTCCCTTAATTTACTCACTTCATGTCAGGGAAGTATATCTCCTCACAATAACACTTATTATTTGTAGAAACGCGTTGGGAAAGAAAAATGTTCTTGGAAATGGATATACATGTATAGAGAATGTATGGGAATATTTATTAATTTTTTAGACTCTAATCAGCAAATGATATAAGTTGAGAATAAAAAAGACCAAACAGATTTTAACTCATAACCTTTATCATTGCAGGAATTCTATCCTACAGACAAACAAATCGTTAAGGAAGGTGATGTTGGAAACACTTTTTATATTGTTAGTGGAGGAAGTGTTAAAGTAACAAAACGAAATCCAGGTAAAACATTACAAATTCATGTTGAAATAAAATACAGCTAATATTTACTTACTATCATATATTATCTTTTCTTTACAGAATCTGGGGTAGAAGAAGAATTACAAAGTCTTCACCGAGGAAATTTCTTTGGAGAATTGGCTCTCTTAAACAATGACCGCCGGAAAGCAACAATTACTGCCCTAAGTCCAGGAGCTGAATGTCTGGTTCTTGATAGAGAGTAAGTGCAAGACCGGAGAAATTACGTTTAGAAATTCTCATTCTCAGCATATGAATATGGATTCAATACAATTTAACCCAGGGAATGAAATTCTGAAGGAAGCAAAATGTTGACTTACAGCGGTCCATCAACAGGTTCAGGTCGAAATCTAGTTTTTGTTCCTATTGAAAGATATGTGCAGTGAAAAAATTAGCTGGTCGCGCATTGGAAATGACTGACAAAAATAAACAATTTGGTTATTATTGGCCGCTCCTTTTCACTAACTCTTGCTGCAGTGAACAGTGTAACCGCAAACGACTCGCGTATGTGTTGTTATCGCTTTCTGGATCTCTACTTGCGAGTTATGTTTAACAGTTTGCTGGGAGAAAACATTAGTTCATTTAAAGGAACATTGTAACAAGGTATAACTAAATCTGTGGATTTATTTTCTTCATTCGTCAGTTACTGGGGATTCGTCTCAATAACTATGACAATTTATCATTTTATATTAATAGGCACAATTAAATCTATTATATTTAGGCCAATGGATCTATACATCTATTAAAATTTACTATTATAGCGTTCGATTATTGCAATTCTATTTAACTTTTAAAATGTGTAATATTATATTTAGATTTAATTAAAAAAGCCATTTTGGCATAAATCGAGCTTCATCATAAGCACCCTCTGACAGTTTATAATACGCAGCGTTTGTGGTAAGGTGGCTTTGAGCGGCCCCAAAGTCGATGATTGGCTCATGGATTACAAAAATTTAAATCAAAACATAAATCAACACTGGCTCCCAACTCGTTCAGAGTCGTCTTGTCGAACGAAACAATGATAGTCACAAGCAATTTTGTTTTTAGGGCTAATGCACAGTGGATTATGATTTAATATTGGTATGACGGCTTACCGGAGTGTTCAAACGCTTTCAATAGAACTCTCATATATTTATGTGTCTGACAAAAACAGCAGAAGAATGGCTAATAATGTTAACTACATTCGCATGTCGAAGGCATATTTTTTCATCTTATCGAGTTTCTTATTTTCAATGCAGAAGAAATATTTTCTGGAAGAATACGTTCTGTGCCACGTGGCATTGCGGGCTAGTGAAGAGTATGAGTAATGTTATTAACTGATTTGCTGCCCGGTTTGCAGCTTGAGCCCATAGGAGCGCTTGTTCCCTCGCGAACATTTTTTGGCTGTTGGCAGGGCTGCACAAACCCCACGCGAACGACGATTTACGTCGTGAAGTGCGGAACGTTCCTCTTTTCTGTTCAGTAACTTCTAGTGCGAGATGGCAGCTATTTTTTCACAAGCATATATAAGTAGTATATATTTATCTATAGGACAAAATATGAGCCCAGATTTCGACCTGAACCTGTTGAAAGGTTCCTTATTATTTAACGTTAAGCAATTAAATAACCATATTTGTAGTGGTGCACCCAAGGAGGGGACTTCAGCCCTCCGCCGCCCTTCCAAAGCCAATAATATATCTCACAAATATAGCTATTACTCATTTTCCATACTAAAGAAAGTCATTCAATAATCAATGGTTAACATTATAAATATTAACCATAAGTCAATAAATAAAAACATATTTTGTATTTAGCATGAATAAAAGAAATCTATATAAAAAGCATCAAGTCAGCTGGACACTGTACCCAAAGCCCCCCGCCAACACCGAGAAAAATCGTACGTACATTTCTGCGTATTTGAAAAAAAATATATTTTCCAGCATCCTCGCGTTTATGACAGCACTTAATCTTTTCACACAATAAAGTAGTGGTGTAAAGCGGATTTAGTAAAACGGTATCCTAAATGCAAATTTTTATTGACATTTTCTCCAAAATGTTTCAAATTTTTCGTTTGAGCGTTTCTGAAAATGTTCAATTTCGCCCTCATTTTCACAAAAATAGTTTTGAGTTTTCGTAAAACTTTATCAGTAATCATGTGTAGCTTTTATACTCGCAAGTTCAAATACATATTAAGAACGCCCATAATGTAAATATTAACGACGTGAGGGATATTTTTTTTAAAATTTCGTGTGACCGTATCAGCTATTACGAACTCATAGCTCATACAGTCTATTGTATGAGCTATTACTAACGTAATACAATGTCCAAGCGGCGTTAGACAGTTGAATATCATTAAGTTATTAGAATAATTGAATAAAACTAAAAGGAGCGGTGCTGACTAAAAAATAGTGTATGACACACGCGATAAAAGTGTTTTTATTTTGCTCGTAAGCTTCTGTCATGCGGCCTATGGGTCTCCTGTGGCAACATTTCCTTCCTGCAAAATAAAATAACACCTTTACCTCTCGATTCATAAATATCTATCATATCATGTTATTCAGTGCATTTAGCACTATCTTACTAAAAGTTTAAATAACAAATTTTGAACCGCTTTCGACGAAAAATTCTTTGAGAATAATTCCATAGTTAACTCAACATTACCCCAAAACTATTAATATTTTTAAAAAAGTACATACAATTAAATCAAATAACTAATTGAGAAGAATAATTTTTTATTGAAGAAAAAATATTCCTCTTCAATACTGAACTTTTAGAGAGGCGTCCAAAAAATTGCAAACTGAACATTTTGACAAAGTCCTAGCGACTTCTTGAGTACTCCCGAAATTTAAGGAATTATTCTCAAATCGTCGGTATTGAGTCAAGTCGGATTGGTCAGTGAATATCCATTTTGACAAAATGGTACAAATAGTTTAGGCACTACAATTGTTCACGGACGGATATTTTTGAAGAATAAAAACACTTTTTCGATATCAGCGGACCCCAAATCATGAAGCCCATTGCATTATAAAATGTCCTGTGCCCCCCCCTCCCATACACACTATCACAAAGACTCACTATTCTGAGGCTTTTTAAACTATTTATTTCAATATAATTAGCTATCTGTATGATTCCTTTATCTAGTATATTTGTATTCCCTCGTTTCATTAATGGCATGTTTTTAATTATGTTTTGATACAAAACACAATTGTTTTAAATCTAAGTAGTATATTTTAAGGGTTTAAGAAATACATATAATAACATGCACATTGTGAAATTCTCCACTGTCATGTTTTTCAGACCTTTTATAGAGTTCTTGGGTCCTTTGGATGCTATTAGAGAGACAGTTTGGGAACCAATTGAGGAACCACGCAGTCAGGAAGGTAAGTAAATATATGGATTGTATGAGCTATAGTTCAAATAGGTTTTCGTATCAAATAGTTAATTTTGCACTAGGGAGTTATAAGGATTCTAATGATAGAGTGGCGACAAAAAGAGCCAGGGCCCTTGCCCTATGGGTTTTTTGTGGCCCGAGATCATTAGAATTAGTTAAATCCTTGACAATGTAAATAATGTATAGGACGATGATGAATTATTATATAATGCATTATATTTTTTGCTGAGAGTTATTGCTTGTTATTACCTTCTATACAGAGCTCGATATACCCTGAATCACTTATCTGGATCGAAAGGATCGTGTTACGAGAGAAATATGAAAACAGTTGAATGATGCTACATTTCTATTATAAAAAGAAAATTATGAAAAGGAGAAACAGTAGAGTTCACGTAATTTATTTCTGAAATTTACGAAATTTCTATTTTTTTTCTAAAAAACTGCTCAATTTTTTAAAAACATTTCCCACGGATAATAGGAAGGACGCTTAAAAGGGCAGCGCTGGTCTCATTTTCCTTGAACTCTGAATTTTCGAAACTTGCAAATTTATAAATAATGCCAGAAAGTTCGTGCTCTTAGAGCCCCACCAGTTTCCAAATATTAGTTGTTTTAAAGAAATATCGATCTTAATTATTTAACTTATATGCAGCATTTTCATTTTAATCATATTGTTTACTTTCCCGTATACTTACATACTTTGGGAGTAGCATACGTAGTAAAGGGAAAGTAATGTATTGTTGCAGCAATAAAAGCTGATTTTTCGACACAAAAAACTCGTATTGTGAGGCCCTTGCACCGAAAAAATGGATAAATTTTATTCCAATATATAGTGCTTGTTCTAACATATTGTGTTGTCAGGATCAACTTTTTGTAGTGTCCTTGATACGAGTATCACAAAAAGACAGACATTTTGAAACTAAAACACTTTCGCGGTATCAGGGGACCCCAAAACGTGTATTTCCGCTGAAATCTCGAAATCGCGTTTTTGCAATATAATTTTTCTCTATATTACACAATATGGGGTACATATATCAGAAATTAATATATCTTACTGCAATACAGGAAGTATAGAACAGCTTCGAAATGCGAGAGAGGAAAATTAAAGTTAAGTATTTTAAATTCCGGAAATAATATAACCGAATAAGATGGTGAAAACGCCCCCAAAACAATTCGATAATCGCGATGCTCACATGAAAGAATAAAAGATATCGTAGATTCCCAACAAAATCAGCCTCCTAGGGCAATCTGTTGCAGAGATACAATGAGAAACGTGTTTTTCATATTTTTTATAAGCTTCTATTGCAAGAATCAGGCTGAAACAAATTGGAGAGTAGGAGAAAAAATACTTGAATTGGGAGGTATTTCTGCTAACCACTTTTGACCCTAAATTCAATACAAAAAATTACAATTTTGAAATTGATTTTCGAAATGATAACGTTCGCTTACTGACACAGTTCTTTCTCGATTATGTCTTTTATAACATTTTATAACATTATTTTTTCAGATTTTTATACAATATGGGCGGTAGCGAAAAGAATTAAAAACAATTGTATGAGTTTAAAAATTTGATATTCGCGCCAAAATATGATTGGAAAAAGTTGTTTCAACAATGTTTAAAGAAGTGAAATTAAGTGACAATGTTCAACGGTGACCAACACGATGAAGGTTTAATTGAAATAAAAGATGCAATTTAAAAATGTGCTCATCTGTTTTTGTATCAATGACTTGAAACTGTGATAAATTTTGCATTTAAAATTCCCGCAAATACTATGACGCATACTGGTGGCAGAAAGCATTTTACATTTCAATATTTTAAAAATTAGACGTCATTAAAACAGATAAAATCAGATGATTAAATATTATCTATACACTGAAATTGTGTTTAGCATATAAAACGCAATCTTCGTTTTGGAAAAGTTTCCAGAAATATCGTAACAGAAATTAAATTGGCGACAAAACTTTTATGATCCCAAATACTACTACTGAACAACTATTTTGAAATTGTTGTATTGCAAAATCGATTATGTTATCTTCAAAATTCCCAAAATTAATATATCTGGGATGTTTCAAGCAAATATGAAGATTTATGCAATCCGTAAATTCAAAAGTATTATTAAAAATTAAAATATTACAGTGTTATTAAGCGTACTTTTCAGTTACGTCATGTAATCAAAAGTTATTCTCTAAATTTGTTAGAACTGATTAATATACATAGTAACGACAGCAAAATATCCATTTTGATAAAAATGTTCCTACATGCGTGTTGAAAACTGTTATTTATGGTAGGAGCGACATTTTGTGATCGCTGCATCCGATTGAACAAATCGTTACTTGCGCATTTCAGGTCTCTGAATTGCTCAGTAACTATGCTCTGAAAATCCGTGGTTTTATTTAAATCGTACTCTGTTGCGATAGAAAAGTGCATAACATAGTACTGTTAAGTAATAAGCAAAAATATTTATCGTATTGTGTGAAATAGAACCTGGAAAATTTAAATTCTCAGATCTGGAAAACCGGGAAAAAGCCGTGAATTCCAAAGAGCCAGATCGCTGGTCTGCAACCGAGCGTCTGCTACCAGTTTACGTCATAATATTAGCGGGAATTTTAAATGCCAAATTTATCACAGTTTCAAGTCATTGATACAAAAACAGATAAGCACTTTTTTAAATTGCATTTTGCTTTTATTTCAATTATACCTTCATCGTGTTGGTCACCCTTGAAAATTGTCACTTAATTTCACTTCTTTAAACATTGGTGAAACAACTTTTCCAATCATATTTTGGCGCGAATATCAAATTTTTAAACTCATACAATTGATTTTAATTGTTTTCACTACCGCCTATATTGTTAAAAATCTGAAGAAAATAATGTTTTAGAATGTTATGAGATGCATTTGAGGGGGAAAACTGGGACAGTACTCCGGTATCATGTCGAAAATCAATTTTAAAAAACATATATTTTATATTTAAATTTGGCGTCAAAAGTGTTTGACAAAAGCATTTCCAAATTCAAGTATTTTTTTTCCGTCTGTCCAATTGATTTCAGCCTGATACAGCAATAGAAGCTGAGAAAAAATAAAATATGAAAAACCCGTTTCTCACTGTATCTCTGCAACAGATTACCCTTGACGGCTGATTTTTTGGAAATCTACGCTATCTTTTATTCTCTTTCATATGAGCATGGCAATTATCGATTTGTTTCGGGGACATTTTTCACCGCCTTATTCGGTGACATCCTTTCAAAGGTTTTATAGCAATATTAACCTCAAAATCAAAATTATCACTTGAAACTATTTATCTTAGTAAACGAAGGGTTAATGTAAAGTACATCCAAAAATTAAAATTTCGGCTTCAAATTCAACGGGTCGGGACATCAGCCACATTAAGTGCGGAATATCAATTTTGGCGAAAAACTTGCATACAGATTAGCCGCTTATGTTGTTCACGGATTGACGGACAGACGTTCTGCTGACAATCGATTTTTCGGTATCAAGAACACACAGTACATGAATTCTCGCTACACCATCTTTTTGAATTAGTAATTTACTATGTACAACAACATTATTTATCCACTTTTTTGTGACATGAGATCAGTAACAAGAGATTTTTGCCGAAAATTCGCCATTTTTCGGCGCGTGAGTGAATAAGTTTTTCTTCTTAAGAAGTGCGAAAAAGTCGAAAAGTGCATGAAAAGATTTAAAGATATATTATATAGAGATTTCATTAATGAACTAGTAGTGCTATATAATAGCACACATTTTCTCGTACTAGTTAGTTTCCTTATATTTTAGTCGGTCTTATATTTGCAGTTAGCCCCACGCCATCTCAGCTGCCATTTAATGGCGCCTAAAAGACAAAAAGTTTTTACACATGTTCTCAAAATTTTCCCCTTATCCCTAATAGTTGAATTGAAATATTACTTAAATAATGTTAAAGAATATTAAAACCTAACTCTGTATGAATATTTTCATTGAAAAATTTGTATCCGTTTGAAAAAAAAATGCTATTAAGGACTAAAAATGCGCAATATGAAGCTCATTTGCAAACAAAACGTTCGAGTTTTCGAGTAACTTCCTGATAAGTTATCTGAAGCAGTTGCACTCACAAATACGATAATATATAAGAAATGCCCGTTAAACATATATATGCAATGTGTGAGATATTTCAAATCAATTATATTTGTGTAACTTTTGACAAAATAAAAGAATTCGTGACAGTTATGTCATGTTATTAAGTACATTTTGTAATATCCGAGCAAAAAAATTTAAATAAACAATTTGGACTTGCTTTCGAAAACAAACGTGAGGTCTCTGAAAATGCGGAATTTATAGTTAATTTTCACAAAAATATGAATTTTTGTGAATTTTATATAATTTAAAGCTCTTGTACTCACAAATCAATAATGTATACAAATCGCCAGTAAGTATTTATTAAGGACGTGATAGATATTTCAAAAAATTACATTTATGTATTCCTATTTATTAAAAACAAATTAATGCAAAAATGGCGTGTACATCTTAAACAGTGCATTTAGTACTATCTGCTCAGAACATTTGAAGAAAAAATTGGAACCGTTTTTGAGAAAATGTTGCTTTCAATATTTTTTAATATTGTTCGTATTTCACTCAAAATTACGCGAAAAGTATAATTTTCAAAAACTTTGTACATAACGTTTATTAAAGAACTATTTATGGAGGATTAATTTCATTTTTAGAAAAAAACTCGCAATTTTCGATTTTGTAGGTTGAGGACAGGTAAAAATTCAAACATTTTTAATTTTCAAAAATTCAGAGTTAACTTGAAAATTGGTCCTACAGCTTTATAAGTATATTTCTCTGTTCTCGTACAAGAAATTGAAGGAAAACATTTGGGGACTTTTTGAGAAAATTTCGAAAATGTCAAAGGGAGCTTTATGTAATGGCCCTCCAAAATTTACAGAATCTTATTTAAAGTCGCAGACCTTTGAGTCGGTCCAGATCGACGCGGGGAT